GAATTTCGCCCCCCCCATATAAATTTTGAATTTTTGATCTAAAAACAAAACGATTGCAAGTTGAAAAGATTTATTGTGTGATTTATTTATTTATTACAAGGAGACAAAATTACATACACATTTGAGATACTTAGACTAGTGTCATATTCTACACATCTAAAGTGGAAGACCGATAATTGAGCAGTTTATAGATTAACAATTGTTGTACTGCAACCTTGCAGGTTCGGTCATGGTTTCAGGTACATTGGTATTTACACAATTTTACCTTTCTGTATACAGTATTTTATTGTAATATAAGTTGAAATACGGGCATAAAGTATCCTATATTTATCCAAGATATATGTGCTCAATTGCTGCGACAGACGTTTTAGGTATTCTGGTATAATAAGCCAATATTGTCGAGTATATATTGGTATTCTGGTAACCTCGCTGACGTTGGCTTGGTTTGAACCTGAATGAACTGTACATTAATTCCTTCTACCTGCATATAGTAAAGCATTCCATGCATGCTGACTATTATCAGAGTATTCGCTGTGACGACCAAGGTAAGGACTAAGGTCCAAGCTTGTCAAATGACGATTTCAAAACTTTTTAAAAATCTATACATACCTTCCTTTTAAATATATCAACCGACGTTTGATAATTTGGAAGGAAAAATTCGCTGAAAATTCACTTTTTTACCTAACTCCCATGATAAATAGCGGCCGAATTACCGCGCGGACTAATCATCATATTTACACATGCCAATTATAGCGCATGCAGGAACAACAACAGGAAAACACTGTCTGCAAGAATGTACTAAATTTTGAGTAGGAGTTACTCAATCGTCATTCCCGCGCGTGGCCGTTCTCCAGTTAGAATCAAACCAATAATAACGCAGGAAACTTCATGAACTCAATGTCCACATGAGAGGTTTGTATATAAAAGTTAGTCATGAGAATACGCTTTATAGTTGTAAGTGATACAATTACGCTACAGACACGCACTATCCTATACCAACTTCGTAACGAGCATGGCTTCGATAGCAGGAAGGGTTGAAATGCGGTGCTACGAACATTATATGCGGTGCTACGAACATTATATGCGGTGCTTCAAACATTATACGCGGTTACTGCATAATGATTAATGACGTATATGATGGCATTATCGTTACTCATAGCACATAAGTATGTGACAGCAACAGGAAGTATAACATAATGATTTGTAGTGCATGCATATATTTTAAGATAATGCTCTCCAAGTGTATCCACACCGGAGGGCAATATAGCCAATCGAGCATTTGGAAAGAAGTATTTCTGCAGTATTAAAGTGATTTAATTAACTCTTGACCAATAGATATTGTATTAGGCCTTTCCTGACTATTTGGTATAAAAATTTAATAGATTATATTTAACAGATAATATCACTAATAGTCTATAATACGTAGAGAGATTTTCAAGTTCTTAGTTCTCTAGACTATGTGCGTGTAAAGGCGAACGGAGAAAAGTCTCCCGGCTTTCGTGACTGGCTAAACGCAATCTCGTTCCCCGAGCATGCCCGTTCGCCGGTTATGGGTGGCCTTAACCTGCGAACGGGCATGCTCAGGGAACGAGATTGGGCTAAACGCCGTTCAATTTTTGAACGTAGAATTTGATTGGTCAGCACGATGAATTAATCGCACGTTTTTACACAAGCAAATCATCATTACATCTCATTTGTTCGTCTTGAGTGACATGTTTAAGCAGAAAAAATGCATGTCTGTCTTCCCCCATATTTCAGCCAAGTTTTTCTTCATTGGTCAATTCTAACAAGCCTTCACTAGGGCGTTCCGGCAGTCACGAAAACACTGAGCATCACTATAGTCAACAATCAAAAGGGGATTCCCCTAATACTTAGCTGTGCAGGTACTTGGTATTCAATGATATTTACACTTTTGAAAGATGTTTTACCAAAATATTACATCTCTGGTAAGAGTGTCAATAAACTATGCATGGAAAGCAGAGGAGGTCTATACAAACTAAATACAAACTTGTGCAGATGATACAACTTATTATAAGAAGGCTTTCACCTTTTCAGACTATTCACGTAGCCTCCTCCGCAGGCAACTCTTGTGGCATCCCAATTGGCAAACGTTTGAAAAATCCCCATAAAAAACGAGCAATACTTTGCCACTCAAAAGTTTGCCACTTTTCACGTAAATAATGTGGCGTGTAAATAACATACATACATATATACAGCCAATCCAAAAAAGGCTGTCCTTTGAAAATTTCAATTGAGGATACAATGTAAGATGGGTTTAACTTCCTATTTAGAGACTTAAACTTGGGAAATTTGCTTTGCAACAATGCTAGCGCATATATAATGAACTGTTTTGATGTAGGGCTATTTGGTTCACTAAATTAATGTCCAATCTTCGAAAGGCTTTAAATATGCAATACCCATCATATCTTGTGTGCTCACTTTTGAAGGACACTATATATATATAAACCTGCCTTTGTTAACACCTATGTATAGATATGGTCATATAGATATGGTCATATGACCTGCTTTTGTTAACATATGTATTTCAATCATAGGGAGAATGAAACGTTGGTGATCATCATCAAGCCTATTGCAAGATGTACAGTGACAATCTTGGTTATGCCAAATCCAAATCCACATGCAGGGACTGGCAATCCCACACAAAATGATGGTAAAGCAATGAGATTTTTATGCAATATTCTACAAATGAGTGTTTTACAGTCACATATATACACCTCTCTTGTCTGTACACCTCTCTAATATGGACACTTAACCAATCTGCAGATCTCTCTAATTATATGGACACCTCTCTAAAACAAGTATGACTCCAGCATGGACACCTTCCTAGTAAGGCCCACCTCTGACCTTTCTAATAGGGACACCTCCACAATAAATACAGCTTTCTAATATGGACATTTATCTGAAGCAGACATATCTCGAATACAGACACTTCTCTAATAACAACACCTCTATAAGAACACCTCTATAAGAACACCTTTCAACTAATTTGTACACCTTTCTAATAGGGACATCTCTTTAATATGGACTCTAAAATGCAGTTCTCCATGTCCTGAAAAAATTCTTACATACATTCATATAAATTCTTACATTCTTATATATTCCTGACAATGTCATTGGTCATGAAAAAATTTCATGACCAAATTCAAAACAGGCTTTATCCTCGTTATTACAGAATTCCTGGTCATCAGGTGGGACACGTACTAGACTAGATGAGGCGTTATAGAAGTTTTTTTCAATCCTCATTGATTAAAATTTACACTACAACTATCCAGACTTGCCAACATTAAAACTGCAGTGACATTGACCCATTGACAAGTAAAATTGTCTGGCATTAGCCAGATTAAAATAATAAATGCAACTTAATGAGTTAATATTCCATTATTTTTTACATTTCTTAGAGAGGAGTTGCCTAGAGCAAGCCATCGACTACATTACGCCGACATTGTGAATGCCAAAAGTACTTGGTATATAAATGGATTAATTAATGAAATAATTGTAATACTCCTCTTAACCAATCAGATTGCAGTAATTTTGTCATGTATATAATAAGTAACGTTATAAACAGTAACTGTACTATTGTTCCCAGTAAACTGCGAAACGACCGTTTTTACGAAGGACATATTTGTGTATCTCGTGATCACAATTCGTTGCAAGCGGTGTGTGAAAAACTGCAAGTTTCAGTTTGACAGTTCTGACAGTTAAATGAGTTTCTAATTTTATTGTCCAATCAGATGCGTAGTTTTGAATTTTAAATCAAAACTACGCACCTGATTGGACAATAAAATAATTAGAAACCATCTGTCAGAACTGTCAAACTGAAACTTGCAGTTTTTCACATGCAGCTTGCAATGAATTGTGATCACGAGGTACACAAATATGTCCTTCGTAATTGACAAAACTATCACTGACAAAACTATCACTGACAAACCGCCTAAAAAACGGTCGTTTCAGCAGTTTACTGGGAACAATAATAGTATTTTGTATTATAAAAATGAAATTTTAAATTTTTCTTTGTAATTTTGGGATGGGCCAAATTTTTGCAATTCCACGTCACAATTTCGTATAAAATACCATGTAAAGTGACTTTAATATTGTTATTTGTGAAGTGTGAAGCACTACTTAATATGGTATATTATAACTGTTCCAAAATGTAACAATAATTAACAATTATAACATACAGTAAGAAAATTTTTTATACATGAATAAATAATTTTTTACCTTGCCAGGAACTCCTCTGTGATCTGTACTGCCTTGCCAAAATCTCCGAGCAAAACCACGAATTTGACCCACGACCTTTTCCTTGTAAGGAAAGTTAGTTTTCCAAATTAAAGACCCGTAGCCAAAAATCCACATATCTTGCTTGTCGTCTGCCATGACGGAATATTTTTATACTTGACTTTTATAGACGAGTTTTTTCCAAAAAATATTTCACATTTGTAGACGATAAAAATCGTTTAAATAGAACGACCTTGAGACCTTATAGAAACGTTTATTTTGAGAATATTTCCATACAAAACTACGGCAAAACGAGCTCAAAATTCCAAGGTTATCACAAGAATTCGAGCGAGAACGCCGGTTTGTAAAAGTGTCAATTTACTTCCGTTGGAAAAGTAATTAATTAATGTTATGACGTAAGAATATATTAATGACGTCAATGAAAGCTCGTTTTTAGGGGGGGGGGGGCACTTTCTCCTGGGCCCACAACTCAAAAGGGGCTACCAAAGTAACGAAG